CTCTGCAGCTAGAATTGCCTTCAGTGTTTCTCTTTACTGAATTCCATTTTCAAATCCTGGATAGTCTTTGTCACTTCCATCACTCTTATGTTTTTGTTTCCTTGGGCATCACTCAAGCATTTATTCTCCTTAAGTGCATTTGTTGTTAATGGCACTGAGATGTTTCCTTTTGCCTTTTCTACACTTGTTGTAGTCTTTGATGAAGTTTATGATTGCACTCTTAAAATCAGTGTCTTGGTGTTCATCTAAGTACTCTGTATTGGTAAATATTTCTACAGAACTTGTAGGGTATTTTGGGGAGATGCCAGTGTGACCTTCCGTAATGTTTGTTTTCTATGAGAACTGGGTATTGGGTCTGTAGGAGAAAATGCAGGTATGGTCTAGGAGTCAGTCTACCTGCAACAAACTTAAGTACTGTTTTATCGTGTTTGTGTGTCTGACTTCATAACAATTTCCTTTATTCTTTTCTCATCTTAATGAGGTTGGAAATTAACTTCTTTAATTTGCATGAGTTTAAACTAAATCATAAAAGTAAAACAATCAGAATTATGAACACATGCTTAATTTGGGATACTATTCAGCTAAATTAAAGGGTGAACTATGATCATTTGTAACAACATGGATGGTATTTGTGAGCACAGAGTAAAGAGATGAAAGACAGGAAAGAGGCTGACAACAGGTGAGACTGTTTATTAGTAATCACAGAGAGAGGCACCAACTTTCCTAGAAGTGTGGAAGGGGGTTTGTGTGAGGTGAGAAAACTGGCTGGGACTCTTTAGAGCCCTCACCAGGTGAAGGGCCTGGGAATGAGGAAGTGGCTGCTTAAGGGGCCCCTGCAGGTCTGCAGTCTGTCCTTCCTGGTGTTGTCTGCTTAGTTAAGACAGATTACCTTGGGAGACAGGCTGTCTCCAAAAACGTTCTTCACTCGTTGTAGCTGACCGGTAAGTTTGAGGAAGGTCAGTTATAATTGCAGATTCTGCTTGACAGACAAGACTATAAGATGAGACAGGACATTGTTGGTTCAGCAATATGATGGGTGACCACACTTCTTGCTCTATCAGACTGAGTCACCTGTGTGTCAGGCACTTCTAGCTGAGATCACTGGAGCTGATCCTCTCTGCCTGGTGGTAAAGCAGGACTGATAGGAGATTACAGGTGACTCTGCCTTCTCACTCAAGCAGTCAGGCTCTGATGGGTCAACCTGTCTCTACTTTGACAAACAGTTTGATAGAGAGACCTTGAGAGAGAAAGGTAGACTTTGTGCTACCACAAATTGCCTTACTTCCAAGCCCATCATTCTGTCCTTCTAAAGGGTTGTGACCTTCTTGCCCCGTTACACTCCTCAGTTTCTCATGGGACTGAGTCTGTCTTCCAGTATGTGAGCTAATAAACACTCCTGTCTGTTGAAGGTCAGACTCCTGTCTTTTTTCTGTCCTTTGGCTCTTGGTGCTGTCTCAGAAATCCAACAATGCCAGTTAGATGTTGATTCTAAAGAATTTTAAATCACGTGACAGAAGTAGTTTTTAATCCCATTGGCTGGTAACATTGGGAGGAGGAAATCTGGAGAAACATTGATCAGGAAATGTTCTTCACTTAGATCAGATGAAGGAATCTTAGGGTACTGATTCTGACCTGAACCTGCCAGGCTTCAGCCCTGGATGAAGTCAGGGCCTGAAGAGCGGTGAAGGAGGAATGAGTCAGGCACTGGGAAGAGGAGTTTTACATCCTGACTGACTAGCAGTCTGGGTGCTTCTTTATACAAAACTTACAGGGATAGATGCATTTTATTCCAAACGTAGATCATATAATTTTTGTCCCTGGAAACGTGTTTTAACTTCTGCTTGATCATAAGTTTAGTCGTCATTGATAAATCATGAGACAACAGAATTATCTTTTACAATTAATTTCCCTCATCAATCCCACAACCCAACTTTTAACAATATCACAGTTTCAAGGGCTTATTTTGCCAAAGCATGACAGCCTGTTCTCAGGCTAGTAGCTCCTGCTGTTTCAAGGACACTAGACAGAAAGAAAACATCCAAGCCAGCCTGGGCAGATTGCCATGTCTCAAGCAGTGTATTGTCAACTTTTAATAGTCAGAGTGCTAATTGTCATTAGGACCAGGAAAGTCTTCAGGCCAAAGTTGCTGCAGTTATTATTTACTTTCTGCCATAATATAATGTTCATATTTTATATATCTGTAGAATTTATTTATATGTCTGATCTTGGTATTCTTTTCTTTCTTGGTCATATGATACCACGGTGGCCCTGTATGAGCTAACTTTTTCTAAGAAAGAGAAGTCTTAATACTTTATTCTTTTATCATTTATCCATACCATTCTTTGTCCATCTGTCGTAGGAAGAAGCTTTTAATTTGATCCACTGTCAATTTCTCTAGCCTACCAAATATTGTTTAACTTTTAAAGTTTACTTTGTTCTGATTTTTTTGTTTCTGACTAAGTGCAGGGGCAGATGTGCCAAGAGTGTCTTTGAGTCAGAGCCTCATAAGGAGGTTTCTGGCATAATTATTTGAGTTACAACCTCCAGGGAGTAAGGAAGTCCTTCAGGTAGGGCCAGATAAGGATATCTCCCTTAAAGTAGGAGGGGCAGTATGGTCAGGACATTCCTGGGGGAAGATGTAAACGATTCATAAGAAAATTTCCATCAATCCAATACCCCCAAGTTGTACAAATAATAACACCCCTCTCCCCAAGCATGAGACCTAAATTATACAATGTTGGCAATGAAAGCACAGGATACCTTAATCAGAGCTGCCTTAGGGCTAGCAATCCAGTCTCAGGAGAAGAGTTAGAGCCCCTAGTAACTGCAACATTGATTCCTTCATGGCATTGGATCTTGCGTCACTTGTGCCTGGCCAAGTCCACTGCTAGACAGAGAGCAAGTTCTAATGTTACCTTTGTCTTCTTATGGGAGTCTCTGAGACAGTCTTGGGTCCGTATAAATCCCCACAGTGATTTAATTTACTGTTAAATTTCCTAGTTATAACTTTCTCATATACTTTGATTCCATTTGACTATCAGTTCATTCATTGTTCTAAGTGCTTTAGGCATCGCTCTAACTAAGCAGCATTTATTGGCTGCTCAAACTCATGTTCCTTGGTACCCTGTCATTTGCATCACTGTGTCATGCGCAGGAAGCCAGACCTTACTGCCAAGGTGCTACACCAGATGTGCAGTTTCATTTTATTTGTCATTTGTGATATTGCATATTGAGTTTAAAAGTACCTTCTCCATCACCATGGCTGTCTCCTGTGAGAAATGTATGTAATATGTGCTGTATTATAATATAAGCATGGGACACTAAAGTATTTTTTTCAGACTTTTACTGTTTCTTTCTTCTTCTTCTTCTTTTTTTTTTTGTTGTTGTTGTGCTGGCTAAATTTATGTGAACTTGAAACAAACTGTAATTATGTGAGTGTAGAAAATTTCAATTTAGTAAATGCCTCTGTAAGATCAGGCTCTGTGATAGCCTGTAGAGCATTTTCTTTATTAGTGACTGATGGGGCATGGCATAGCCTGATATGGGAGGTGCTACCCCTGGGCTGGTGGCTCTGGGTTCTATAAAGAAGTAGGCTGAGCAAACCATGTATACCAAGCTTGTAAGCAAAACCCCTTCATGACATCTACATCAGCTCCTGTCTCCAGGTTTCTGTCCTGTTGAGTCCCTGTCCTGACTTCCTTGGATGGTGAACAATGCTACAGAAGTGGAAGCACAATGAACCCTTTCCTCCCTGAGTTTGTTTTTGGTCATAGTGAAGAGTTTAGGTTAGCCTGGGTATAACTCCATTTTGAAATAAAGAACTGTCTTGACTGGGAGCTGAATTCAGGTACCAGGAAATATCACAAAATGTGCATTTGGTAGAAAACAAAGTTAACTCTCCTAGCAACAGCCTCCAGGAAATATCATAGAATAAATACTTTATAGAAAATAGAGACAATCTCCCTGGCAATAATCAATGAGAATCGGTTGGGAATCCGGTGGGAAAATTCTCCCTAATGTTTCAGATATAGTTCAGAAGAATAGCCATTGTGATTATATTGCTTAGCAATTGTGATTATATGCCTCAGAGAAGGTCACCTCGCCCCTCTAACTTTTACCTACTTCTGTAATGTCAAGGCATGTACCCCCCCTGTTTGCTGTCATGGAAACTCCCTGCTTGTAGTCTTTCCCTTTAAAAATACTGCTCACTCAGGGCTTGAGGTCCCACTTCTCTACTGCTGCATCATTGAGACTTGGGTCCCGAGTTCAAATGCTCTCGTAATAAAGCTCTCTTGCTATAACATCCAGTTGTCTCCTGGTGGTCTCTGAGGGTCCCATGAACCTATCATTACAATAGAATTTCATAGCAGGAATACGAGCTCCCACTTCTCTACTGCTGCATCATTGAGACTTGGGTCCCGAGTTCGAATGCTCTCGTAATAAAGCTCTCTTGCTATAACATCCAGTCGTCTCCTGGTGGTCTCTGAGGGTCCCATGAACCTATCATTACAATAGAATTTCATAGCAGGAATACGACCTTTAAATAAGGCATATATGTGTTTGTAATTTGGTAGCATGCATGCTTAAAGGTTGTTGGATCCTCTAACTGCATTTAGTTTGGAGCAGCCATATGGCCTCTCCTTGGAAGAGCAGCCAGTGCTCTTAAGTGTTGAGCTATCTCTTCAGTCCAACATACTGTTTGTAGATGCACTCATTCTCCGTGTTATGGTTCTTAAAAGTATAATATCCATAGGAGTTTCCAGAATCTTCTGCCATTTACATTCCTTAAAGATGAGTACTCTGTAACATCCCAGCACCACATCAGAAGTATTTTAGGAATATTACTTACCTGTATCAGAAGCATTTTCAGCTCTCCTCTCATTCTAGGTGACCTTTAAATTGGTATGGAGAAGCACATGACAACTCTAGGAAATTATGTTATTACTGATGGTTGTAATTAGTATAATGTACAGTAGTCACTATTTTTTTCTTTATTTCAGAATATTCTGTCATTCTCGGATGTGGCCATTTCTTTCTCTGAAGCGGAATGTGAATACCTGGGCCCTGCTCAGTGGAAATTGTATAGGGATGTGATGTTGGAGAATTACAACAACCTTGTCTTCCTGGGTGAGGATCCCTTACGTGATGAATTCTTAATTAATTGTCAGCGTGAAGTTTGCTCCCTCTGTACAATATCTCATGGGGGCTTGGCCTACTTTTAAAGAAAATTAAAAATAATTCCTATACCTTAGAACTGTTTTTCTTGTCTTTCATAACCACCCCTCCACACTTAAATGTATGATATATATTAGAAAGTGGTATGCCTTAAAGAGACCGTCACACCCTTCAGTGTTAAGTCTTCCTTGTAAAAGGGATGTGAAGCTTGGGACTTGCAATTCCTAAGTTTTTTCTAAGGATTCCTTTGTACCCATAGGAAAACACATAAAGAACAAATCCTCTACTTTCCTTTATATTGTATCTTCTCCTTCCTTATACACACAGTCCTGGAAAGGACATGTTATTTCCCAGGAAAACCTACTAACAATGTTGTTCCCTTTATCCACAAATAGGTCTTGCTTCCTCTAAGCCATACCTCATCACCTTTCTGGAGCAGAGACAAGAACCTTCGGACATGAAGGGACAAGCAGCTGCCACCATGCCCCCAGGTATGTCTGAATGAAGGGGTTAGAGGACAGAGTGGGAGATTCAAAGATTCAACAGAAAGTCATTGAGACAAAATGTTCTGGTGAAAATCATCTTTCAAAGATCTTATTTTCTGTCTTTTGCTGTCATGGTAGACATCTATCTGACATTTAGAATGCTTTGAGTCTTATAAGCTTTGTTTTCTCCTACCATAAAGTTAGCTTGTATTTATGGTGACAGACAAAGCTCTGTTGTTTCTAAGTGAACTTTAACTTGGATATTTATTTTCTTCATAATATATACATAAAACTTATTGTTTCAAATCTTTGAAATTTATTATTTAATATTATTATGGACCATCTTTTTGTGCAGCCTAAGTTTCATAACTTCTAAAACTAAAACTTTGTACTTAGGATATATGCAAATGTTATTTACAGATATTTCCTAAGTTAAACTATATTTATACTTTGTTTTTATCTAGTCATAATATTTCTGTGTCTGTTTAAGGGGCTGATTTTCATTTGCATGATGTTATTATAGGTTTTCTTGATTGTTGATGTTGTGCCTTCCTTGTTTGACTTTGATTAATACTCCTTTGTTTATATGTTCTGTATTGTCATGGTCTTCTTACTTCACTGGAAGGTTACATTATTCTCACCTATTGTGTGTTTTAAATTAGGTTTCATTGAATACCAGTATAGAAATTTGAATGTAGCTAATAATTTATATAGAAAAATGCAAGTTTGTGTAAATGTTTGTTTTTAAAAATAAGCATTGTTATCATAAAGAATTTTGCTCAGCTTTCATTCATTCCTCAACCTTTACTCACCAGGGGGAGAATGCTATAGATGCAAAGAGTGTGGCAAAGCCTTTGATTGCAAATCAAAATTTAATAAGCATCAGAGAATTAGTTTACATGGGAAGCCCTACAAGTGTGAAGAATGTGACAAAACCTTCCGTTTTTCATCATTATTTTCTGAACACAAGAAAATTCATACAGGAGAAAAACCTTACAAGTGTGAGGTATGTGACAAGGCCTTTCATGATCCATCATTATTTTCTGAACACAAGAGAGTTCATACAGGAGAAAAGCCCTACAAATATGAACTATGTGGCAAGACCTTCCATGCTCCATCATTACTCTCTAAACACAAGAGAATTCATACTGGAGAAAAACCCTACAAGTGTGAAGTCTGTGGTAAGGCCTTTGAATATCTATCAAAACTTTCTAGACATAAGAAAATTCATACAAGAGAGAAACTATACAAGTGTGAGGTATGTGGCAAGGCCTTTCATGATCCATTTTTACTTTCTGGACACAAGAAAATTCATATAGAAGACAAACCCTACAAATGTGAAGTATGTGGCAAACACTTCCATTATCCATCATTACTTTCTAAACACAAGAGAATACACACTGGAGAAAAACCCTACAAATGTGAAGTTTGTGACAAAGCCTTCCATGTTCCATCATTACTTTCTAAACACAAGAGAATTCATACTGGAGAAAAACCCTACAAGTGTGAGGTATGTGGCAAGGCCTTTCATTATCCATCAGTACTTTCTGTACACAAGAAAATTCATACAGGAGAAAAACCCTACATGTGTGAAGTCTGTGGCAAGGCCTTTCAAGATCTACCAAAACTTTTTCGACATAAGAAAATTCATACAAGAGAGGAACTATACAAGTGTGAGGTATGTGGCAAGGCCTTTCATGATCCATCATTACTTTCTGAACACAACAGAATTCACGCAGGGAAAAAACCTTACAAGTGTGAAGTATGTGGTAGGAACTTCCATTATCCTTCATTGCTTTCTGAACACAAGAGAATTCATACAGGAGAAAAACCCTACAAATGTGAAGTCTGTGGCAAGCACTTTCATTATACATCACTACTTTCTAAACACAAGAAAATACATACTGGAGAAAAACCCTATAGGTGTGAAGTATGTGGCAAGGCTTTCCGTGTTCCATCATTACTTTCTAAACACATGAGAATACATACTGGAGAAAAACCCTACATGTGTGAAGTATGTGGCAAGGACTTCAATTATCAATCATTACTTTCTAAACACAAGAGAATACATACTGGAGAAAAACCCTACAAGTGTGAAGTATGTGGCAAGGCCTTTCATTGTCCATCATTATGTTCTAAACACAAGAAAATTCATACAGCAGAAAAACCCTACAAGTGTGAAGTTTGTGGCAAGCACTTCCATTATCAATCATTACTTTCTAAACACAAGAGAATACATACTGGAGAAAAACCCTACAAGTGTGAAGTATGTGGCAAGGCCTTTCATTGTCCATCATCATGTTCTAAACACAAGAAAATTCATACAAGGGAAAAACCCTACACGTGTGAAGTTTGTGGCACGGCCTTTCAAGATCTACCAAAACTTTCTCGACATAAGAAAATTCATACAAGAGAGGAACTATACATTTGTGAGGTATGTGACAAGGCCTTTCATGATCCATCATTATTTTCTGAACACAAGAGAGTTCATACAGGAGAAAAGCCCTACAAATATGAACTATGTGGCAAGACCCTCCATGCTCCATCATTACTCTCTAAACACAAGAGAATTCATACTGGAGAAAAACCCTACAAGTGTGAAGTCTGTGGTAAGGCCTTCGAATATCTATCAAAACTTTCTAGACATAAGAAAATTCATACAAGAGAGAAACTATACAAGTGTGAGGTATGTGGCAAGGCCTTTCATGATCCATTTTTACTTTCTTCACACAAGAAAATTCATATAGAAGACAAACCCTACAAATGTGAAGTATGTGACAAACACTTCCATTATCCATCATTACTTTCTAAACACAAGAGAATACACACTGGAGAAAAACCCTACAAATGTGAAGTTTGTGACAAGGCCTTCCATGTTCCATCATTACTTTCTAAACACAAGAGAATTCATACTGGAGAAAAACCCTACAAGTGTGAGGTATGTGGCAAGGCCTTTCATTATCCATCAGTACTTTCTGTACACAAGAAAATTCATACAGGAGAAAAACCCTACATGTGTGAAATCTGTGGTAAGGCCTTCCAAGATCTACCAAAACTTTCTCGACATAAGAAAATTCATACAAGAGAGGAACTATACAAGTGTGAGGTATGTGGCAAGGCCTTTCATGATCCATCATTACTTTCTGAACACAACAGAATTCACGCAGGGAAAAAACCTTACAAGTGTGAAGTATGTGGCAGGAACTTCCATTATCGATCATTACTTTCTAGACACAAGAGAATACACACAGGAGAGAAATTCTAAACTTGTAAAGTATGTGGCCTGGTTTTCAATTGCCCATCATTACTTTCTGAAAGCAATGATATTTGACAGGTGAGAAACCTACAATTGTGAGGTATGTGGCAAGGCCTTTAGAATTTTCCAGATTCTTTCTACTCATTTGATAGCCCATTCAAATGTGAGGAAAGTGGAAAAGCCCTCTCTACAGAGTCAATCCTGTGTCAGCACAAATTAACTCACAATACAGCCTTACAAATATAAAGAATGTAGCAAAGTGCTCAACAATACTAAAAACTTTAATGATCATCAAAGAATTAATTCTGGAGAGACACCCTACAAAGGTAAAGAATGTGGCAAAGACTTTAGAAGTTCCAGATAGTTCTTACTGGAGAGAAACATTACAAGTATGAAGACTGTGGCAAAATTTATTACCAGTCTTCTGATATTAAGCAACATTAAAGAATTCATTTGTGAGAGAAACTACACAAGTGTGAAGAATGTGCCAAGTCTTTTGAACTTACTAAGAACTTTGGAAACTCTTCATAATTGGATTTAAATGGCACAAGTGAGAAAAATATTGCAAACCCTTTAATAAGCTTCTATTTCTCAACACAAGGTAATTCAAATTGGAATGAAAGAATATGAATGTCAAAGTGTTCATAAAATGTTTATACTTCTTCAGGTCATAAAAGATTTCAAAGAATTCATTCTGAGTAGAAGTGTATTTGTGTGAGAAACGTGGAATCATACCTTACATAGCACAAAAGAATCAAGAGTAGAGGGCATTCATACACATGTGAAGAATGTAATGAGTTATTTATCAATCAGTCAACATTTCTGACCTCCATAGAATTTATCCTGTAGAGAAACACTGTAACTTTGAAAGCTGTGACAATGCCTTTAAGAGCTCCTCTTCCCTTGAACAAACTAAAGTACTCAGAGCAATAGTCCTCCAAATGTAGCGTACCGAGAAGGTTGTATTTATCATTCACCCTTTATTATACATCAAGGAAGTCATACACGAGTCTCTGCAAATATAGATTATGGCCAGATATTTAGTTGTTTTTCAGGCCTGTGTCCACATCATAGTGTTCATATTGGTAAAGTGCACTGCAAATGTTGTGATTATGGCAAGGCCTTTACATGGTTTTCATATCCTCTGAGACTTCATACTTGTGAGAAACTCTGTACACCTAAATAATGTGCAAAAGTCTTCAGTCATATCACTACTCATCAACACAAAAGTCTGCACATCCAAATGATGTGCCTTTGAAAATATTTTTATTCTTCAACACCAATGAATCTTCACTGATGAGATGTTCTGCCAATCCTGACGACCTATGTTACTTCTGCTCTCAACCTCACACAGAGAAGCTGTTATGATATATTAAAATATGCCACCCATACGACTGATCTGTTATGAAAGATATTTATTTGGGGGAAGGGAAGCAGAAGACAGCTAGAGCCTGAGTGACCCATGAGGACAGAAACAGAGACAGATGGGGAGAAGGGGCATCCTAGCAGAGAAAGGGAGAGAACCAAGAGGAGAGCAAGAGAAAGAGGGAGTGGCAGACTGGTTATACCCTAAGTACCTGGTCCAGATGATGTCATAGGATGCAGGTACTGACATATGATGTTGTCATGACATAGGTCATATGACATAGGACCCTAAGGGCAAGTCAGTTAAATGGCATGCACAAATAACATTCCTTGTTTAATTAAAAAAAAAAAATGAGGAGCTAGGGAAGGGTAACAAAGTGGGAATGAGGACTTTGGAATGCTTCTCATGCAAGGCAAGTTAAAGTATATAAATGTAGGTTCATTGGAAGCAGCTCTTGTTCACCATGCAAGGGGGTGAGAGAGAGGAAAAAAGTAAGCATCAAAATGTCCAGATTACATGGTGAGAAGGAGGGGAAACCCGTGCCCTGGAAAGTTCAGGGTAGAGGGTGGTGTTGCCAGCCATGCCCAGCAACAGATAGGGACTATGGGATGCTAGGAGAACCTGGAGCTGTTTGTCCTGGGCCTGAAGCACACAATTCCAGCCTTTTGTTAATAATAAGTGGATAACAGTCAAATCAATCATCTTTAGCTACTTCCTGCTGATACTGGGGTAGAGATAGGGAGGCCAAAAGAGTAAAATGTTGGCCAAGTCCAGGAAGAGCAGGCTGTTTTGATGCTGTCCAGGATCTGTGAGAATTTCGGCAGCGGGAAGTAAAAGTGCAGGTCCAGCTTGATGCAGACTTCGAGGTTAGCCTGGAGTACTTGTGGGTAGCTGCTCTGGTGATGTGTTGAATGTAGGAAACACCTGGCAGGATACTGGAACATAGATATGGGCAGAAGACAAACTTAAGTATGTTAAGGATAAAATTTCTTTTAGGTATATATTTGAAACTTTTGGGAGAGTGAGCAGAGATGGATGGTTTGACGCAAAAAAAAAAGAGAGAGAGAGAGAAAGCTGGAACATAGGAAAATAAATCAGTTCTGCCAGACTTTGAGGCAACCCCACAAAGTACAGGAGGACCAGAGAATCGAGGGCACATGGTGGCAGAGCAGGTCATCATGAGCTGGGCCAGGGGCCAGGAGGAAGACTCCCAAGGGACACAACCTCACTTAGGATTTTCTTATGTGAGAGAAAAGGAAAGCAGAGTGACCAGGTCGGTAAAAAGTAAAAGATTATTCACCCAAGGGAAGGCATCTGCAGTGAGTGTTGGTGAGAAGCATTAACTGTAGCCTTGAGGTCATTATTTGGGGTGCCTCTGTTCCCCAGTGAACAGGAGGTGTTGGCATTCTCGGACAAAGGGAAGTGTTTATACCAACCAGAAGGGAAGATTCACAGTTCAGCTGGTGTTGGGTGCAGGAATGTAGTAATCTGGTGGTTGGGGGAAGGGGATCCCAAAACCAGGGAAAGTGGGGAGGAATCCTACCTTTTGAGATAGACAATAGGTAGGTGCAGTACTTATCTAGAGCCCATTTGACCTGAGAGGTGGGTTTGGATGGATTTGCAACTTACAAGAATTCCTTTTAATGTTACAAAGGAGATAAAACTTTAGACAATTTAGCATCACCATTGCAATCTGTAGTGAAATACACATTGTAGAAAAGGCAATAGACCTACAGCTTTATGTTAACAGAATAAACACTATAAACACTATGGTGAGCTTTGGAAGGGCAGAAGCCTTCAGTGAAGTAGAAGGGGCAAAAGCTCACTTGATCTTAACTTTTAGTATGATTACACATTATGGTAGGGAGGCTTAAACAATTCTTAAGTCTGTACTTAAGAGACAAACCAAATGAAATTTAAAATTTACTATGATACATAGGTGAGACTGCTATGAACATTTATTATCCTTTAGCTAAAGGAATGGTAGCAAGTCACATCTGAGACCTGCTTTTTGAGTGTGGTTACAAAGTAGACTGGCTATACTAACAGCAGCTCTAGGAATGAGGCGTAAGGCCTGGTCTCTGGCATATGACAGAGGTTGGCAATATGACCATGAGAACTGAGTGTGAAGTTAAAAGAGACCTATAACATTACCCTGGGCTTAGTGTGAGGCTGGTGGAAGTTGCTGAATCTAGGACCATTGTTTTCTGCCAGGCTAAGGAGCTCGAAGGCTAGAAGTGTCTGTGGCACCTGTGCTGGTTGAGTTTCCATGGCTGGGCACAAAGGACAAGCCTGAAGGGGAGCATTTTGACTTCCAGGGGCCAGTCTTGCCGTCAGGTTAGACATGGCTTGTTGAGATGGCTGGGTACTGGTGTCCTTCCTGGCTGCATTTGAAACAGTTACCTAGCAGAGTTGACTTTGGCTAGACCCCCAAGGGACTGGGACATTACAGATCTCTTATTTCCTCTGCAGAAATGCAGACAGCTTCAGAGCAGCAGCCAAGGTATAGAGTATAGTTTTATGCTGTATCTGAGCCTATCAGGAAGGCTTCTCTTGGACTTTAAACATCACCCCTGATTGGGGGTTGGAGGGATTCAGGGACAATCCTCAGCTGTTTAGTTAAGATGGCAGTGAGACAATGTCTGCATTTGTAGGCTATAAATATATTTTTGCACATGTTAGAAGACTTGATCATCTATAAGATGACTATTAACTTGCATTTGTTAACCATTAGATATTAGGATTTTAGGTTTTATCCTTGTTAAGTTGGAGCCTTAAAAACAAACACAGTCCATAAAGAGAGTATAACAGTTTTTAGATGATTTAGCTTATAAAAAGTCTAAGGCTATATTATAGATTAAATTACTATATTTAGAAACAAAACCAAGATATTTTAACCTTTTTGAGAATGAAGATATAGCACAACAACCAAGTTTCGATATAGACAAATGTCTGTCTCTAAAATTAATATATTTTAGTTTAGAGTATCTTTGGAATTATATCATATTTTAAGGGTATCTAGGCAAAAAAACTTTTATCTAGTAACCCCAAGTTATGAGTTTTAGAATAAACAACATAGTAAAACAGTATAGAACAACTTCAAAATTATATTAGAATTTATTATACCAAACCCATTGGCCAGAAAGCCTAGTGGTGAACCCGGATCACAGGCAGCTTATTAATCTGAATAGACCTTTATAACCTTGAAATTTTAGCATCATATAAAAATTATTTTGGACCAGGGCTTAAAAAATATATAGATATGTGTGTGTGTATATATATATATATATATGTGTGTGTGTGTGTGTATATATATATATACACACACACACACACATATATATGGCATGTTGTAAAAATATAACTTTGAATTTATACACAAATTTATATCATTTAAAAATGAGACTCGTAGCTTTGTTACATAAGACTAGCAGTAATTTTGTTCAATATGTACACATGTTAAAAGCAAATTATTTATAGTGGAAAACATTGTATGAAGGTGAAGAACGTGGCACATCCTTCCTCAGACAGTATGAACTGGAGGGCACTTGTATAGAAGATCAATCCTATGAATGTGATGTGCTGAAAAATGTGAGGTAATGCTTGGAATTAATGTGACATCATGGTTTTATGTACTGGAGAGAAACAAGTCATTGTTGCCAGAATCAAGCAGATCGCTCATGACTGAGGATATCAATTTGTTATAATACCAAATTATATGCTCCCAAGATATTGGAAATGACAGTTGTATGAGGGAGGAAAGTATAGGATCTAGTAAGAAAAGCTTCCAGCAGTGAGTGGACCATGACTAGGAGAGAGGCTATGTGTCTTTCAGGTGGAGCTGGAAAGGTGGGGCACTCTATTAATGATACTATTAATCATACTCTGGCACTATTAATGATACTCTGCTATGCTTGCAGACAGGAGCCTAGCAGAGTTGTCCTCTGGGATGCTTCACCAGGCAGTGGATCCAAACAGATGCTGAGACTCACAGCCAAAATTACATAAAGCATAGGGAGTCTTGTGTATAAGTGGGGGCAATGGATAGAAGGACCTGGAGGTGACAGGAGCTCCACAAGAAGACCAGCAGAGGCAACTAACCATCCCAATGGGGCCTATGGAGACCTAAGCACCCAACCAAGGAACGTACATAGACTGGACCTAGGTCCCCTACACAGATGTAGCTAATGGACAGCTTGGACTTCATGTGGGTTCCCTAGTAAAGGGAGTGGGAACTATCTCCAGTATGGACTCTATTGCCTGACTTTTGATCACTTTCCTCTAGTGGGGCTGCCTCACCAGGCCACAGGGGAAGTGATGCACTCAGTCCTTGATGAGTTAGGGTAGGTTGGTGCGCGCGGGGGGGGGGGGGGGGATGCTTCCCTTTTCTGAAGGATGCGGGATGGGCAAAGAGGGAGGGAAGGTGGCACTGATAGAAGAGGAAGGAAGGGACAACAATCAGGATGTAAAGTGAATAAATAAGTAATTTTAAAAAGAGTGAATACCACAGACAACATGACAGCTTGCCCCTCAAAGCTCACTCATAAGAGAACAGAAACCAAAATCCAAATGTCTATCAAAACTTATGAATCTGAGTACACTGTTATTACTAATGAATAAAATGAACCTCATCCAGTGACCCATGTAATGGAAGTTTTGATTAGGGAAACGTTTTTTGTTTTGATCCCAAGTATGGGATGTGAAAAAGACTTGAGAGAATGTATGATCATTGTCAGCTGGGGTGTAGTTTTTACCAGCTAGAAAACATCCTGTTGGGGACTCAGGGAGGGCCTGAATAAGAGTCCAAAAAGCAGAGAGAGCTTTGCATCCCTTAACATTGCTCTGCATCGCTTGGAGACACTCCTAGAGAGAAACGCTCTGGGGAAGGTTCTGAGGAGGCTGCTGCTGATTCAGCTGTTGCTGTTTGCTGTTAGTCATTTGCTGTTTGCTGGTGCTTTTCTGGAC